TCAGGGCAGGGAGTTGGGATGAGGGGTGCAGGAGGAGTTTGGGGTGTGGGCTCTGGTCTGGCACAGCTTACCTGGAGCGGTTCCCGGGTGGCAGCGGCGTGTACCCGGGGCAAGGGTAGGCTCCCTGCCTGCCCTGGCCCCACACCGCTCCCAGAAGCGGCCAGCACCATGTCCCTCCGGCCCATGGGAGGGAGCGGGGGCAAAGTGCTTCGTGTGCTGTGGGTACCTTCCCCAAAGCTCCCATTGGCCGCGGTTTCTCGTTCCTGGCCAATGGGAGCTGTAGGGGGCAGTGCCTGCAGGCAAGGGCAGCGCGTGGATCCCTCTGCCCCCTCTTCCCCAGGGGCCGCAGGGACATGGTGCTGGCCGCTTCCGGGAGCGGCGCGGGGCCTGTGGTGCCACAGGGGTGGCAATCCCGTGGGCCAGATCCAAAGCCCCGAGGGGCCGGATCTGGCTTGCAGGCCGTAGTTTGCTCACCCCTGTTCTACACAGACTAATTACAGTGCAACGCATTAAAGGGCTTTTGTAATCATACCCCTATACAATATACATTACCCTATGGTATAGGCAAACAGTTGGGTACAAGTCAAGGAACATCAAGTGAGGTGCAGGAGCATACAGCAGACCAGGTTCACCTGAAGCTGTGCTTGAAAACCAGAACTATGACCATTTAATCTGCTTTGGGGCATCACACCAAAGTTTTGCTCTGCTGTGCTTCAAATCTGCCTTTGGTTCCGCTCATTTGCATGCCAGTACCTAGTGTGTTTCCAGCTCATTTTTGTTCTTTAGAAGCACTGCAGAGTTGATCATGGAACAAACCGACTAGTTTGCTTTTTAGCCAGAGGAAGAGAGGAAAGAGCTCAGTGCTGTTTTGTGGGGTTTTATTTTTGTTCAGGCTGACAGTGAAGCTGTAAGATTAATCTCCATACTAACGTCCCAATTCTGGCAGGATGCTATGCCTAAATGACTGCCAAAAACCCACACGCAGCAGGAAGATGACAGGGTGGATATTTTCCATCCACCCAAATCCTGGCTCCCCCAAAACCCTGCTGAGCAGCTGCTCCACAGGCCATCCATGATAGGAGCCAGCACAGGGATCAGGGAGTGTGGTCTGCATGTCTTTGCAAACGTGCCACGGACCCTTCCTCCGTCTCCTCTCTCCCCAGCCTACAGATTATTCACTTGTGATTCTAGCAAGAAATAACTCATATTGGAATCCAGTCACTGACACTCTTTAATGTTCTAGTTCAGCTGTCTTTTGTCTAGCGGATGCCCTTCAAAATCCACAGGCGCAGTTCTTGCCTGTGTGTGAACTGCAGACGAGTACAATTTTGGTAGATCTGGCTATGGCCATATATAATGTGAGCAAACCCTCCAAAATGTCTTTTACAATGCGGTCAAATACTTCATTCTGGAGCACGCAATGTTACTATTTCACTGTGGGCTTCTCCACAGCATCCCAGTTGTATGATGGTCTATTGGGGATTCAGTCCGTTGCTTATAGTCTAATCTAGATTTCTTGAACCAAAGTTCCCTGATGCATAAGGCTTGTGCATGAAACCAGCTGGGTGTCCCTGCCCACTTACTACCAATTTATTTAATTTGAAAACATCCTGGGAAAATAAGCAGAACCATTGCTGAGTTATCTACTCTCCTCCAGATAAAATAAAGCTCTTTGTATACTTCTGGGGGAAAAGAGTACTCTCAGCGCCTTTGATTTTATTGAGAATGACAGTGTTTGTATCCTGTTTAAGAAAAGTTATGATATGTGAATAATTTTCTGAGAGAAGAATACATGTTTTTTTTCCTATGATCACTGCTTTTTATTTTTCTAATGGACTTCTCACCATTGTTTTGTCTGAATACATTTTAATTTTTGTTGCTCCAGACATGAGCCTACCACAAACATCTTTAAACCAGACATTAATACCATAGATCACAGTCATTTCTGCCAATGCCCAAACACAAATATTGCATTTGTGTATGGGGGGAAAAATACACATCAGATCTTAATTAAGTGCATTTGTTTTCTCTGTGCTTAAACAATCTGGCATAAAGAGTTTACATCACTATCAGTTAACTGTAGAGTTCTTTGTGGTACCACCAGATCATCGGTTGCACAGTACATGATTCAGAATTTTTAAAAACCAGCAAAATTGTCAGAGAGAGACATTAGGCTTTGTACATTTCCCTGATACATAAGTAGAGTAGGGAGAGATATTTGTAATGAATAATTTATCTGAATTTGGCCTTGTTTGTTGTTGTTTGCCGATTGGTCATAACCAGCTGATTGTTTTGGGCTGCATTTGAATCTAGGATAGGGCACTGAATTGGGCATTGGGAGAGCTGGCTTCTGATAGCCTTGACCACTGAACTGTTGTGTAACCTTTGGCAAGACAATTCATTTCTCTGTGTGCCTCTTTCTTCTCCCACCATTAGTCTGTTTAGATTGACAGCGTTTTGGGACAGGGACTATCCTGTATGTGTGTACTGCTCCTAGCACAATGAGGCCCTCATCTCATTGGGATCTCTAAGCATGACTGTAATACAAATAAATCATTCAAACTTTATTATTATTTATGTGTGTGGGGGGGGGGGGATGCAGTCCTTGGATTGCTCATGAATTGTTGAAAGCAAGCATTAATGTGATTCTTCATGCTGTGACAGCTCACCTTAGTCACATGGCAATGTTTCTGTTTCCTTTTTGGATGACAGACACACAGGTAAAGTGGACTGAACCTTTGCGTAAATAAATATGAATATAAATATTTATGAGACATTTGCTTCTTGCAAACAAAAATTCATTCCTAGAGATTGAGGTAAACAAGAAAGATCCCAAATGCCATCAAAGTGAATTCCATTACCTTTAGAGGAGTTAGGCCAGAAACACTTTAGTGCAACTGAGGCTGATCTACACCTAAAAATTGTATTGATCTAGCTACGTCACTTAGGGTGGTGAAAATTTTTGCATCCTGTATGATGTAGTTAGGTTGATGTAACCTCCACCCTGGACAAAGCTAGGTCAAGAGAAGAAGTCTTCCGGTGACCTAGCTACCGCCTTTATGAGAGGTGGGTTACCTACATCGATGGAAAAACCCCTTCTGTCAATATAGGAAGCATCCACGTTATAGTGGCACAGCTGCAATGCCGTAGCTGTGTTGCTGTAGTGTAGACATACCCTGAGAGCAGAATTAGGCCTACTGTGTGCTAAATGCCATGGTTGCTCAGGGAACAGTTGGGGAAAAATACTGGGTAATCCAAGCACCAGAACATGCATTATAAATATCAGCTAATCATAGTCAGGATCTACGCAAGTGCCATTCAGGCATATAGTGCCTGGTCATTAGGCCATGTAAAGTAAATGCCAAGGATGTTTGTTGTATGATATTTGAAAATTGCAGTAAATGTGAAGTGGAACAAAATAAAATTCTAGCCCACTGCAAAAGTTGAAAAGAAGAGAGTGAAACAGCGGTGTCAGTGGATGAATGCAAACTTATTCATCATTTTAAAAGCCATTTTTAGGGTATTTACAATTTTTGCTTTAAATTAGTATGCTATTTTTAATTTGTTGAATTGGTGCTTCATTATTTTGGAATAGATTTAACCAGCAAAATGCATCTGAATGATCTTGTTTGTAGTCAAGTCTTACTTTTTTGTTTTGTTTTACGCTCAATTTTAGCAAGGTTGATTGAGTCACAAAGGGCTTAAATGGGAGGCATGGTCATAAGGGGTCCCCAGGTCCTACACAGTATCTAAAATCACACGCTGTGTGACACACAAATTGCCCTTATCCAAGGTCACACACCGTGAATCTTGATCTGATCTGAGAATAGGCACAAGTAGGATCTTGCATTCTAGTCCTCTGCTGTAATATACACTGAAGTGTAAGTGTGGGTATGGTGGGATGATGGAAAAATTAAAATGTTAGGTTCAGCTGATAGTCCTAATTTTTCCCCTGGATGGTGCTTTGCACTCGTTCTCAAAGTGATACGACTTTGGAGACAACCCAGAGATTCTTGTTCCATGGGCCAGCAGGGACTATCAGGAAGGAGATGGTCTCCTATTGCTTAGGGCAAGGAAAGATGTATATATGGGTTCGTTTCCATATCCCTTAGCAGATGTCTGATTGTGCAGTAGCCTTAGAATAGGTTGCCTGCTTTTCCAGTCAGTAGATAAGCATGGCATCCAGACCAACTGTGAGGAATAACACTGGGACCCTGAAACAATGTGGGTGCTAAAATAGCTTGTAGTGGTCGCTGACTAGGGGGAGGTGAGGGCCGCTTGTATATTGCCTTTTCAAAGTTGAGAGATTTCATCAAGAGTTCACCCACGGTTGACATTTTCTCTGTAAGAGCAGCAGCTAAAAAGCATCAACGTATTTCTAATCAGGCAAAAAAGAAATATATATTCCATTTCTTTTCTGAACTAATTTGCTTTCTGCAAGAGTTTGGGATAAACGTTTGATCCATTGCATTTTGAAAGGAGGGAAATTTAATATTGATGAAATCAACTTCTAATCTAATTCATTCATGCAGAATTCCCAAGAGTTAGACCCAGGGACCCATCATTAGGAGCTAAAATATTCCTTCAGAATGTGGAAGTGGTGGGGAAGCATAAATGTGCCTAGTCTAGTTTTAATAAGCCTGTGTCTCTGTACATGCAAAGGGATTTCTACTTTTGCAGGCATTGGGGTAAGGGAGCAGAACAAAAGAAATGTTATTGAGCTGGAGAATAAAAAGAAAAGCTTAAGCACAGAATTAAAACCAAGGAGTATAGAATTACAAAGATAAAATGAGTTTAAAATAATTGCTTAGGGGGCGAGGTCTGGCCTCAGATGTGCCTGCAGAGCGCTCGCTGAAGTCAGTTGGAATCACTGGGGCACATTCAAGGCCAGAATCTGGCCTCAGATCATATAAATGTGAAAACAGATGCAGAGGCAAAGTCACTGGAATTCATAAGGAGGATTGTTCTAATTGACTAATCTGTTTTTCTGCCGGTTATAGGTGTTGGAGCCAGCCCCTATGTGATGAATTGCAATGTGACTATAGACACTCAAGACATGGCTACAGGAAAAGATATAGCACGTGCTATCCGAGGCAGCAATACACGTGGTTTAAAGGGTGTACAGACTATGGCTTTTCCCCACAATGGGAAAATTGAAATCGCTTGTAATGTGGAGAGCTTTGAAGATCAAGACAATATAATGACCGCACATGAAGACTTTGGGTACATTTCGTATTGTGTTCTTGGGAAGACTTTTTCTTATGTATCCCCTCAATCTATAGAGGCTCAAATTAAAAAATTGGCCAGCAACTATGGGATAAATACTGCCAGGACAGCCTTAGTTGGATTTACTCCAGAGGAGTGTAAGCACTGTGCCACATATGCATTAAAGAAAGGCATTGGAGAATTCTGGAGGATGAGGGGAGGCATGTTCATGTGATGCCCATTTTACCTCAGCAGTTATAAATCCTGGTATGTTGAAATTATGGTCCTTACCAATTAAAGAAACCCACATTATATTGTTTATGTGGGGAGACACAAATGCACATTTGCAAAGTTGGCTTTTCCCCACAATTCCCCTTACAAGTGTGTATTGATTGCCCCTGTGATCTGATCAGTGGATGATGTTATATACTACCATAGAAAACCAAAGATGGTTTGTCATACCTGATTCTAGGGGTCTGTTGGTTTTAATGGGCTGTCTAGTGATCAACTGTCCCACTTCCTTGAGATCCAGGTGTTTGCAGGCTCTCATCTAGCAATAGTTTGACCATCTCTGGGTGCCAGCTGTTGGACCTCACATATCAGTGTTCAAGGTTTCATCGCACTGACAGGGGAAAAATTGCTTGTCTGGAGTGTGGGGAAGTGGGGCCTTGAATGTGAGGGGACAGTGGAAGGGGTCCTTTCTTTTTTAGTCTGGGAAGATAGTAGTGATTAGAGCTGGTCAAAAAATGGGGAAATCTTTCACAAAATATGTGTTGTTTTTTCACTCATTTAAAATTTGAATGCTTTCTGCCAATTCCAGCGGAGGGAGTATGGGTATGTCTACACTAGGAAATAAAGTCAAATTTATAGAAGTCAATCTTTAGAAAGCGATTTTATACAGTCGATCGTGTGTGTCCCCACTAAGCGCAGTAGGTTGGCGGAGTGCGTCCTCAATATTGTGGCTAGCATCGACTCAGAGTGGTGCACTGTGGGTAGCTATCTCACAGTCCCCGCTGCTTATTGGAATTCTGGGTTAAGCTCCCAATGCCTGATGGGGCAAAAACATTGTCACGGTGATTTTGGGTACATGTCGTTACACCAACATCAACGTGGGGTGGCCGGGAAAGGTGCATGATGCTCGCATCTTTAGGAACTCTGGGCTGTTCGAACAGCTGCAAGAAGGGACTTACTTCCCAGAACAGAAAATTACTGTTGGGGATGTTGAAATGCCAATAGTTATCCTTGGGGACCCAGCCTACCCCTCGCTCCCATAGCTCATGAAGCCATACACAGGCAGCCTGGATAGTAGTAAAGAGCAGTTCAACTATAGGCTGAGCAAGTGCAGAATGGTGGTAGAATGTGCCTTTGGATGTTTAAAAGCTTGCTGGTGCTGTTTGCTGACTAGGTTAGACCTCAGCGCAACCAGTAATCCCATTGTTATTGCTGCTTGCTGTGTGCTCCATAATATCTGTGAGAGTAAGGGGGAGACGTTTATGGTGGGGTGGGAGGTTGAGGCAAATCGCCTGGTGGCCAATTTTGAACAGCTACACACCAGGGCGATTAGAAGAGCACAGCTAGGTGCGCTGCACATCAGAGAGGCTTTGAAAACCAGTTTCATGACTGGCCAGGCTACGGTGTGACAATTGTGTGTGTTTCTCCTTGATGCAAAACCGCCCCTTCTGTTGAATTTACTTCCCTGTCAGCCAATTCCCCTCCCCCCTTTGACCACAGCTGGCAAAGGAAATAAAGTCCCTATTGTTTTGAATCCAAGCATTCTTTATTTATTAAAAAAAAAGTGAGATCACTGATAAGGTAGCCGGGTGGGGTCGGGAAGGACAAGGCCACATTGCTTATTGTAGCCACACTACAAATCAAAACTGTTTGAATGACAGCCTTCTGTTGCGTGGGCCATCCTCCGGAGTGGAGTGGCTGGGTGCCCGGAGCCTCCCCACCCGCGTTGTTGGGCATCTGGGTGCCCGGAGCCTCCCCCCCCATGTTGTTGGCGAGGAGGGCAGGTGGTTATACAATGGATGCAGCAGCGGTCTGTGCTCTTGTTGCCTTTCCTCCACCAGATGCCTGATCATGTCCGTTTGCTCCCCCATTAGCCTCAGCATCTGCTCCTGCGTGTTCTGATCACGCTCACTGAATGCTTTCCTGGCCTCTGCCACCGATTGCACTCCATGCATTCAGCTGTGCCCTATCAGTGGGGGAGGACTGCATGAGCTCTGAAAACATGTCATCGTGAGTGTGGTTTTTTTCTCCTAATCTGCGATAACCTCAGGGATGGAGATGATACGGGGAGCATAGAAACATTTGCATCTGTAGGGGAGATAAAAAAGGAGAGTAAAATTTAAGAAGATACATTTCTGAGAACAAAAGGGAGACTCTTTCACAGTGAATCAAGCAATTCACAGCAGACAGCACATGTGCTTTAAGTACAGTTTGCCTTTTATATTGAGCACCTGCCAGCCTGGTGACACATCACACATGGCTGGGCAACAGAATTCGGTTTCCAGGCAGCCATGGTAAGCCAAAGGGTATGCAGGGTTGGCTTCTTCCACCTTAATAACATGTGGGAATGATTTCAAATTGCAGCGCCCTCCTTTCCTATAGCAAGCAATGCTGGTTGGGTTTGCCATTTAAAAGGAGGGGGCTGCGGTTTTGGGTTGGATGTGCAGCACACTCCTCCCCCCACCGCGTGGCTATTCTCCGGGATGATCCCTTTTAGCCAAGCGCAAACAGCCCAGCATGAACGGGGTCCTTTTACTGTTCCCTTACAAAAATTCCCCTATTTCAACCAGGTGATCATGAATGTTATCACTCTCCTGAGGCTGACACAGAAAGATAAAGACTGAATGTTGCATAAATGCGACCAAAACCCAGGACCATTCGCTGCCATGCTTTGTGCTGCAGTGATTCCAGACTACTTGCTACTGGCTTGGCATGGTAAAGTGTCCTACCGTGGAGGACGAAATAAGGCAGCCCTCCCCAGAAACCTTCTGCAAAGGCTTTCAGAGTACCTCCAGGAGAGCTTCATGGAGATGTCCCTAGAGGATTCCCGCTCCATCCCCAGACATGTTAACAGACTTTTCCAGTAGCTGTACTGGCCGCGAATGCATCCCAATTCTTCAGGGCAAATCAAACAAACACAATTGCTTTTAACCCCTGTAGTGTAGTTACAAATGTGCACTCACCAGAGGTGCCTTCTTCTCTGCCTTCAGGGTCCAGGAACCCGCCTTGGGAGGGTATTGGCTCCAGGGTGATGAAAAGGTCCTGGCTGTCGGGGAGAACAGATTCTCACCTGTGCTGCTAAGCTCGCCACGCTGACCAAACAGGAAATGAAATTCAAAAGTTCCCGGACTTTTTCCTGTGTACCTGGCTAGTGCAGTGGAGTTGAAAGTGCTGTCCAGAGCAGTCACATTGGAGCACTCTGGGATAGGTCCCGGATGCCAATACCATCGAATTGCACTACGCTGTGTCTGCACTATCCCAAATTCGAACCAAGAAGGTCGATTTTTAGCACTACTCCCCTCGCCGGGGAGGAGTACAGAAGTCAATTTTAAGAGCCCTTTAGGTCGATGGAATGGGGTTGGTTCTGTAGCTGCATTGCTTATAAAATCGACCTAGCGCGGCTAAGTACGACCTAACCTCGTAGTGTAGACCAGGGCTATGAAGCAAAGAGGAGTAACTGTAATGCCTCTTTATATACCTGGGCTTCAGGAGCATTTGAAGGCTGAGAGATGAGTAGCACTGGGTTGGATTGGAGGCCAGCAGGACGACCCACTACTTTGGCTTCATGGTGGGGAGTACCAGCACCATATTTGAAGATGCCTCAGTGACAGCCCCACATGCTCTCCTAGCTCCCTGGCTCATCTCAGCAGTGAGAGGAAGGGATAGTGGTATATCCCAGACCTCTGACTGACAAATGGGTGACCCTTGGCTAATGCATACAGGCCAGGGAACATGAGATGCACCACCCCTCTATAGGTGTGGCAGGAGGACTGGCAGCAAAAGGTAGGTCTGTCACAGCTCAACAAAAAGAGGGACTGATGAAGTTTTACCTGATCTGGAAAGCTGACTGGCTGAATGTGGGAGCGGATGATGGTTGGAGTGTAGTTCTCTCTGGACATCTATGCTTTCAATTGATGTTTTCTTCAGGGAAGGAAATTTAAAAAAGTCAGTTGGCCACTCCTGGGCCATGGATGACTGGGAGGAGATTCCCTCCAGAGTAAAAGGGGAGACTAGTGACAGGTCCCAAACAGGGGGATGAAACTAAGTGTTGGGAACTTTATTGCTTTCTGTTCATTATTAAGCTTGGGGGAAGGAAAGTAAAAGTGTGATTTTTAAAATAATATCAAAACTGCAGAGAACAATGTCAACCTGTAGGTTAACAGCAAGTACACACTTAGAAACGGGAAAAGCTATTGAATCGGGACTTCTCTATGGCCTCTGGAGCTACATCTCAGCAGCCTCCAGCCATCAATGGCAGTGAAATCAGAGACCTATCTATGTTCTGGTACAGGACATGGGATAGGAGGTATGGGTGACACTGTTGCAGAGGTTGTTTTTGGTGACCCACAGGGAGAGCAGTCACTGTCTGACTGAAGCTAGAGTTTAGACTTGCACCTGTTGGTCTATGGTTTAGTTTTAAATAAAATTGATGAAAAGATATCTATTGTGAGAGAGAATTCACTCTCGTTTCTGGGGTTTGAGATTGGTGATCCAGACAGAAGCCAGGCTAGCAAAATCATTTTCCTCAGAGGTTTCCATCTTCACAATATTCACCTTTCTCTCCTCCATATTCTATAAAATGCTGCTGCCAAAATCATCTTTTTTTTATTTCTGACCACATCCTCCCCCTCTTTGAATCCCACTATTGGCTTCCCTTTGCACTGTGTATCGAGTGCTAGCTTCTTTTTCTTGCTTTCAAGGCCATGCATTGTTTAGTCCTGGTCTGTATCTGAACTTGTCTCCTTTGCAGACTTCACTCAGAATACCAGCCTGCTCCCTCATGCGGGCAGCGTCTCAGAGATTTCACTGGGACTCCATATGGGGCCAGAGGCCAGTTTGTGACTATTGACTGTAAGGTTTTTGAGGCAGGAATTGGGCCTTTTTCAAGAGGTCCTGCTTTATTTCTACCAGCTCTTCAGAACTCTGGCTCCAGGTACATCACTTTCTGTAATTTAAGTTTTCTACAATTAAGCGATTGTAGCGGACTGTGGCAGGGCAGGGGTATAAATCCCTTGGATGCCCCGCTAAAGGGGTGGCTCCTCCCCGCTTCCTGGCAGGGCAGCTGGGTGCAGGGGCCCAGACACTCAGCAAGGAGCTCAGCTGCAGGCCCTAACGAGGGAGGCTCAGGGGAATCAGCTGAGTCGAGTGGAACCAGCTGGGCTGGTGACTGGGAGGAGATATAAGCCCAGGGAAAGGCTCAGACAGGAGGCTAGCCAGGGGAGATGACAGAGGGACAGTAGCTCTGTCTCTACCGACTACAGGAAGCCTCCGGGGCCGAGAGACCCAGGGAAGGTTCAGAGTTGGGATCGATGTTGGGGGAATTGGGGCTGCACTGAGCTCTGTAAATAAAAAGACACAGGTGAAACAACTGAGAGAGGCGTTGGGACCCCTTCTTTGACCAGCGTAAGCACAGGAGCACAAGGATGCGAGGCCAGTAACGTGTGTGGACCCTGTGACACTGACCCATTACTTGCCTATAACAAGACAACACCAAAAGTGAAAGTAAGTGGATCTGGCTGCCTGTCTCATAAATGACCCTTTTCATGCCCAACTTGTTTTGCTTTAAACTTTCCTCATTGAGCAAAGAACATGTGTGGAAATATCTGGATGTTTCTCTCCCGAATGACCACTCCTTTGGCTTAGGCC